ACACACAAAATGTAAAGTTTGTAAGGAGTGGTTTAAGATGAAGAAGGATTATGACTGCATGAATGACAAGGGCATGTTGTCATAGAAACAGTGAAGAAAAGATGAGCGCCATGTGTGAAACGTTGGAATTGGGTGAAAAGAAAAATCAGATACTGAAAGAATTGAAAATTAAAAGAAAAAATACAGCTGGAACCTGTATCTCCAAACCAAAACAAATGATTGGATGAGCAGTGTGATGTGACACTCCCAAATGCCTACTGACAATCTAGGGACAAACCATAACTTCTCGAAAGAGCTGATGCTAACTCCCGTGGGTGAAGTGTTCCTTATCGCTAATGATGTTAAAAGCATAATAATCTAGTTAGCTACAGCAGATAAACCAAAGAATATGGCTGAGGAATTGACTCCATCAAGTGGAATAATGACAGCCAATATAGAAGAGCTACTAAAACCAAGTTGCAACATAACAGCTCTACATGAAAACATTATAAAAATGAATGATTAGCCAGACACAGGCAAGACTGTAATATGGAAAGGTGCAGATGCTTTATGAGAAAGATGGTACAAAGCTTGCTCGAATATTGGATCCGAGGATTTTTACTAATCCCCTCGCAAGGCATTACATTAAAAAAATATTAAATCTAAGACTAACAAGGAAGTCTTCATAGCCTTGCTCTAAAATATGAATTGCTAGGCTTTACAGGGACTTATCAGCAATAAGGAATCTGAGGAAAAGTTCAGGGAAAATGAACTATGAGATCCAAATGAAATCCAGATGTGTCACTTAAAGTAAAATAGTGAATATAATGGAAAAGGATTTTAACATTTTTAATTATAGAATTTTCCACTAAAGAAGAGTTTCCAAAAACCAGAACATAAAACTCTAGCAGCTACAAACAACTGTAACTTATTACAGGAGGTGCCTGGGTGGCGCAAATGGTTTGCACTCATCTACTAACCAAAAGATTGGTGGTTCGAACCTACCTAATGGCACCACAGAAGAAAGACCTGGCAATCTGCTTCCCTAACGATTACAACTAAGAAAACCCTGTGGAGCTCAGATCTCTGTAACACATGGAGTCACCATGAGTTGGAATCAACTTGACAGCAATGGGTTTAATTTGGTTTAACCTATTACAAGGACTTGGCTCTTATAAGATTATGATCTTAGATTTTAATTCAGTGCCTTATTACTGCCAAACTGTATTGATTAGGATTACTTTGTTGCAGGGAGTGAAGCTAGTTCAAGCTAGTTTAAGCAAAAAACAGCTGGGGGCATTTATTAAAAAGTTACAGAGGTGTTTCCTATAACCAAAGGAGAGGAGTAAAGCTGGGCCACAGTAAGGACAGGAATCCTTATCAGGCCTCTTGCCTGTCTTTTGCCTCTGCTTTCTGCTTCTCTCGGTGCTTCTTTGATTTCTTTTTATTTCTATTGGATTGTTGGCCCTTTCCTTACTGCTTTGTGATAGTTTTATGTCTAGATTTATTCTCTCCTTGAAGACCAGCTAAGCTGGTTATTGATGTATTATCTTTCAGCTTGAAATTCACCCTTAATTGCCTAGTCTGGGAAATGAATCTGGGCCCTGTTATTTGCTCTGCCAGCTGGCACAATGTTAAGTTTTGCCAGTAGAGGGTGTAGGAGAGACACTGCAGGAGGAAAAGATTTTGTTTCCTGGTTCTCTTGTGCTCACTTAGCAGGCAGGCTCTTGCAGCTCACTTGGCAGGCTCTTAAAGTGCATGCAGCTTCTCCAAGTCTGGCTCCTGTAGCACAAAAGCCTCCAGCACTAAACTCCTGTAGTGTGCACAGCTTCTCTAGCACCCAGCTCTTGCAGTGCAGGGCAGCCAGCAGCACCCAGTGGCCAACAGCTTCTCCCAGCACAGCTCACAGCCAAAGTGGTTTTGTGGTAGAGTGCCTCATATTAGATACCTCCCAATGAACAGCTTTCCCTGGCACCCTAGAGCATGAATTTCTAGCAAGTTCCATTGCTGTTGCACCACAGTAATGTCTCTTCCTTCTAGTGACCCAAGGCCAACCTGATCTTAGTCCTGGAGGAGCCTCTTCCTTGGGTAATGGCTGCTTCTTATTTCTGCTATTTCTATATTCTTTATAGTTCACTTCTTACTAGATATTCCTTCATTACCTAATCCCCTGTTATAGTTAATAATTCTTTCCCCCCCCTCTAAATTTTATTTATTTTGTTGTTGAACATATACGCAGCAAAGCATACATCAATTCAATAGTTTCTACAAGTACAATTTAGTGACATTGGTTACTTTCTCTGAGTTGTGCAACAATTCTCACCCTCCTTTTCTTTCTTTTTTTTTTATTGTGCTTTAGAAGAGGGTTTACAGAGCAAATTAGTTTCTCATTAAACAATTAATACACATATTGTTTTGTGACATTGGTTGCCAACCCCATGACGTGTCAACACTCCCCCTTTCTCGACCTTGGGTTCTCTGTTACCAGCTTTCCCGTCCCCTCCTGCCTTCTTGTCCTTGCCCCTGGGCTGGTGTGCCCATTTGGTCTCATTTTGTTTTATGGGCCTGTCTTATCTTTGGCTGAAGGGTGAATTTCAGGAGCGAAGTTCTATTTCTCACAATCTAGTAGGCTAGAAGTCCAAATTCAGGGCATCAGCTCCAAGGGAAGGCTTTCTCTCTCTGTCGGTTCTGGAGGAAGGTCCTTCTTGTCAGTCTTCCCCTGGACTAGGAGCTTCTTTGCACAGGAACCCTGGGTCCAAAGGACGTGCTCTGCTTCTAGTGCTTCTTTCTTGGTGGTATGAGGCCCCCCTGTCCTCCAGGGACTTGTCCCTCCTGATATCATGTCCAAAGTATGTGAGATGAAGTCTCACCATCCTTGCTTCCAAGGAGCATTCTGGCTGTACTTCTTCCAAGACAGATTTGTTCCTTCTTTTGGCAGTCCATGGTATATTCAATATTCTTTGCCAACACCGTAATTCAAAGGTGTCAATTCTTCTGTCTTCGTTATTCATTGTCCAGCTTTCACATGCATATGAGGTGATTGAAAACACCATGGCTTGGAACAGGCGCACCCTAAAGTGACATTTTTGTTTTTTAAAACTTTAAAGAGGTCTTTTACAGCAGATTTGCCTAATGCAGTGCTGCTTCCATGGGCGTTGATTGTGGATCCAAACAAAATGAAATTCTTGACAACCTCAATCTTTTCTCCATTTATCATGATGTTGTTTATTGGTCGAGTTGTTAGGATTTTTGTTTTCTTTATATTCAGGCTTTGTATTTCTTTATTCAGTCCATACTGAAGGCTCTAGTCTTTGATCTTCATCAATAAGTGCTTCAAGTTCTCTTCACCTTCAGCAAGCAAGATTGTGTCATCTGTATAATGCGGGTTGTTAATGATTCTTCCTCCAATCCTGATGCCCCATTCTTCTTCATATAGTCCAGCTTCTCAGATTGTTTGCTCAGCATACAGACTGAGTAAGTATGGTGAAAGGACACAACACTGACACAAACCTTTCCTGACTTTAAACCCTTGTTGTGTTTGAACGACTGCCTCTTGGTCTATGTACACGTTCCTCATGAGCACAATTAAGTGTTCTGGAATTCCCATTCTTTGCAATATTACCCACAATTTGTTATGATCCACACAGTTGAATGCCTTTGCATAGTCAATAAAACACAGGTAAACAGCAGCTATCTGACATTAGCAGTGATATCCGTCGTTCCGTGTCCTCTTCTGAATACAGCTTGAATTTCTGGTAGTTCCTGTCAATGTACCGCAGCAACTGCTTTTGAATGATCTTCAGCAAAATTTTACTTGAGTGTAATATTAATGATATTGTTTGATAATTTCCACATTTTGTTGGATCACCTTTCTTTGGAATGGGCACAAATATGGATCTCTTCCAGTTGATAGTCCAGGTAGTTATCTTCCAAATTTCTTCACATAGATGAGTGAGCACTTCCAGTGTTGCATCCATTTGTTGAAACTTCTCATCTGGTATTCCATCAATTCCTGGAGGCTTTTTTTTCACCAATGTCTTCCTTCAGTACCATTGGTTCTTGATCATATGCTACTTCCTGAAATGACTGAACTTCAACCAATTCTTTTTGGCACAGTGACTCTGTGTATTCCATCTTCTTCTGATGCGTCCTGCATTGTTTAATATTTTCCCCATAGAATCCTTCAATATTGCAACTTGAGATTTTTTTCTTCAGTTCTTTCAGCTTGAGAAATGTCGAGCATGTGCTTTCCGTTTGGTTTTCTAGCTCCAGGTCTTTGCACATTTCATTATAATGCTTTACTTTGTCTTCTCAAGCTGCCCTTTGAAATCCTCTGTTCAGCTCTTTTACTTCATCATTTCTTCCCTTCACTTTAGCTACTTGACGTTCAAGAGCAAGTTTCAGAGTCTCTTCTGACATCCATTTTGGTCTTTTCTTTCTTTCCTGTCTTCTTAATGCCCTTTTGCTTTCTTCATGTATGACATCCTTGATACCATTCCACAACTTGTCTGGTCTTCGGGCATTAGTGTTCAATGCTTCAAATCTATTCTTGAGATGGTTTCTAAATTCAGGTGGGACATACTCAAGGTCATATTTTTGGCTCTTGTGGACTTGTTCTAATTTTCTTCAGCTTTAACTTGAACTTGCCTATAAGCAATTGATTGTCTGTTCTGAAGCCCCTGGCCTTGTTCTGACTGATGATATTGATGTTTTCCATCATCTCTTTCCACAGATGTAGTGGATCTAATTCCTGTGTATTCCATCTGGTGAAGTCCACGTGTATAGTTGCCATTTATGTTGTTGAAAAAAGTTATTTGCAATGAAGAATTCATTGGTCTTGCAAAAATTTTATCATGTGATCTCTGGCATCGTTTCTATCATCAAGGACGTATTTTCCAACTACTGATGCTTCTTCTTTGTTTCCAACTTTCACATTCCAATCAACAGTAATTATCAATGCATCTTGATTTCATGTTCAATCAATTTCAGACTGCAGAAGTTGGTAAAAATCTTCAGTTTCTTCATTTTGGCCTTAGTGGTTGGTGTGTAAATTTAAATAATAGAAGTATTAACTGATCTTCCTAGTAAGCATATGGATAGTATCCCATCACTGACAGCGTTGTACTTCAGGATAGGTCTTGAAATGTTCTTTTTGACAATGAATGCAACACCATTCCTCTTCAATTTGTCATTTTGGGCACAGTAGGCCATATGATTGTCTGATTTAAAATGGCCAATACCAGTCCATTTCCGGTCACTAATGTCTAGAATATAGAAGTTTATGGGTTCCATTTCATTTTTAGATGATTTCCAATTTTCCTAGGTTCATACTTTGTACATTTCATGTTACTATCATTAATGGACGTTTGCAGCTGTTTCTTTTCATTTTGAGTCATTCCCCATCAGCAGTTGAAGGTCCTGAAAGCTTGACTCCATCCATGTCATTAATGTCTACTCTATTTTTAGAAGGCAGCTCGTCCAACCTGAGGGGCTCATCTTCCGGCACTATATCAGTCAATATCGCAGTCAGCTACTATTCATAAGGTTTTCACTAACTTTTTTCAGAAATAGACCTCCAGGTCCTTCTTCCTAATCTGTCTTAGTCTGAAAGCTCAACTGAAACCTATCCGCCATGGGTGACCCTGCTGGTATTTGAATACAGGTGGCATAGCTTCCAGCATTACAGCAATACGCAAGCCACCACAGTACGACAAACTGACAGATGGCTGGGGCTTTCCCATATACATAGTCTCATTTCTTTCCTTATGTTCCACTGAGTCTACTTTTTCCCTGACACTGAATCTACTGTTATCCTTTATCTTTTTGCTCCAATTTGGCCTGGTTGCTTTCTAGGCCTACAGTGCTGCCATTATCCTGGAACTTTTTCCCCCCCTGCTCTCCTGGGTTGTATCTGATTTTCTGGATCTCATGAACTCCTTGTCCTTTAATCACTCCCTGTTTGCTGGGGTTGGTCTCCTGGTAGCTTCTTAAAAAAGGATGGGAGACAAACTTTCCTAGTCTTTTCAAATCTCTATTCTGCCCTTACACTAGATTACAATTCATCTGGAAATTCTGGGCTGAGAATATATATTTCTACAGAATTTTGAAGATATTGCTCCCCTTCTGGAATCCAGTATAGCATTCTAATTCTTGAGCTTTTGTAGTTGATTGTTTTTCTTTTCTGGAAGCTTTTATGATCTCCGTATAAGGTCTTATAGTTTGGTCCGCCTCTCCAAAACAGTAAATGAAAGCGGTGAGGGAAGAGGTATTTCTTTTCATCTTGTCAACAGGAATTCTTCTGGTGTTTCAGATACTGTGAGATTTGCTGTGGTTTTCTGAGTATAAACATTTCTATTAATTCCTAGTTTACTTAGAATTTCATTTGTTCTTTAAAATCAGTAGGAGGTACTAAATTTTATCAAATGTCTTTTAGTCATCTGTCAGTATGATAGATCATGTCATTTATTCCTGTACTTAATTTGCTAGTATTTCATGTAGAATCCTTGCATCAGCATGCCTTCACAGGTGGGAGAGCCCGGGCGGTGGGAGAGAAGGACTTAGTTTTATAAAAGGGTGGAAGGGCGGGAGGCTGTTTCGCTCCTTAGTAGGTGGGGAAGGTTGGGTAGCGCTACCGTGGTTGGTGTAGCGGCTTTTCTGAGTGTGTGTGGTAAATATATAAGTAACAAAACATTTGCCATTTCGCCAACCTTCATATGCACAGTTTAGTGACATTAATTATGTTCACCAGGTAGATTTTAATCTTAAATTACTCAGTACGACGCTAGAGACGCTCTAAGTCCCCGCCGGGCCGCCACTGGATGCCTCACGAAACCTGCAGAGCAGGAGAGCGACACTCAGTGGCACTCCGAGAAAGGGTAATTTGATCGCAGACCTTTCTGGGCTTTTCATCGGCTGATTCCGCAGGAGTCCCGCCTTTCCGCTCTTCCTATTGGCTGTCCGCCCAGGGTGGGCGTGCGTTCGGCCAGCCGGTCCAAGGCCGGTGCACTGGATCTTGAACCCACCGAGTGGCCGGGCTTTAAGAGGTAGGACCAACTAGGGCATCCGGCTGGCTGCTGCCCCGCGCCCACTGTTGTCCCTTTGGGGTGACCAGGTTCCCCATAGCTCTTGAACCGACTTCCGTTTTGGTGTCCGATACACTGCAGACGGCTGGAAGCTTTCTCCACCACTGCTGTTTGCCTCAGTCCCATGGGTGAGGAATGAAGGAAGTTCATCCACAGAGACGCCTGGTCCTGGGGAGGGATTAGGAAGATTCAGCAGCGTTGCCCGCAGTAGAAAACGGCGGGAGGCGGGGAAGTGGTGTCTTTCCTTCCATCCTGCTCTGGATGCTCTGCCAGGGGCCGAACGGAGTCTGGGGTAGAGTCCTGGATGGAGAGGGAGAGGACCCCTGTGGTCAGCCCTCCTCTCTCCCCAGGAGCTGGGTGGGCGGGAGTCAGTCCCAGCCGGTATCTCTCAGCTGTTGGTTACGAGACTTTAGAGACCCTCTTAAGGCTCTTAGTATTGGAGGCCTAAAAACAAAACAAACAAACAAAAATGACCAGTTTTCTTCCAGTGGATTCTGACTTATGGCGACTTCAAGTGTTTCAGAGTAGTTTTTAATGGCTGTGACCTTTCGGAAGTAGATTGCCAGGCCTTTCTTCTGAGGCACCTCGGTGAATTCCAACTGCTAACCTTTAGGTTAGTATCCCAGAGTTTAACCGTTTGGGGGCCTAACTCCACGAAATGTCAAACTCATTAATAAGCATCTACACTTCATAGTAAACATAATTGGTAGTTGACTCTCAAAGGCTTGAGCTGTTGACAAGTTGATGTGCTAGTTTTTGAAACCATTTAAATAAATATTTAGTAATTTCAATTTTATTTTAGTATTTTGGAGCCAAGAATACATATTTTTTCAGAACACGACATTTTACTGATTCTTGGAAAGCTCGTAAGCCCAAGATCGGTAACCTGTAATGGTTAGTGGATAAAACTGTAGCTCCTCCACTCCTTCCAACATGCATGTGGTACATACACATGCAAACTCACTCACTTTGGGTTTTCATGGAGTTGCTGCGTCCTGATTCATGGAGAAGGGCAATGGTTACTTATACACCTGGGAGAGGCTGGCCCCACCTCCCTGCAGAGGCCCAGAGCTGGGTCTTGTTGAGTGTTCATATGTAGCTAAAAGGCTGAAGACACACCAGAATGGAAACAGTGGAAAGCCTTGCCAAACAATAAAACCGAAGATAGAAGATATTCTATAAGCTAGCCCAGGACTGGTACTGGGTGCTGAGGCAGGGTCCAGTCACATGGGCCTGAGCCGAAAGTGAGGGTGAAGACAAAGTGGTCAGTGGCACATGGCAAGCTGGTGAAAGCTACTCCAGCTGCCTTACTAGCTTCATGTCTGTATCACTGATCTGTTGTCTCACTGTGAACCACAATGATTACACAGGGCCTTATGGCTGTGTCTAGGTAATTAAGTGCAATTTATCCCATGACGTCATATGTGGACATGGAGAGGAACACATTGCTGGACCAGAAAAGCTATGGAGGAAAAGATGTGAAAGGATATACATCAAAACTGTTAACAGTGGTTACTCCTGGGATATCAAAGTGAACATGGGGGATGAAGGGTAGAGACTTATTTTTTTATTTTACCATCTTCACATTTTTAAAATTGTGGTACAGTTCAGTGACATTAAATATCTTCACTACGTTGCTCAACCATCACCATTAAATTTTTCTGAATTTTTCCATCACCTTTAACAGAAGCTCAGTGTCCTGTAAGTATTGTGTCTTCCTTCCCCCTCCCTCCGACCTGCCCCTGGTAACCACTAATAAACTTTGATCTCTATACACTTGCTTATTCTATATATTTCCTATAAGTGGGATCATACAATATTCACCCTTTTGTGACTGACCTCTTTCACTCAGCATAATGTTTTTTAAGATTTATCCATGTTGTAGCATGTATCAGAGGTTCATTTCTCTTTTTGACTGAGTAATATTCCATTGCATGTGTGTATTACATTTTATGTATTCATTCATCTGTTGATGGGTATTTAAGTTGTTTCCACCTTTGGCTATTGTGAACAGTGTTGCAATGAACACTGGTTAAAGTATCTGTTTGTGTTCCTGCTTTCAGTCTTTTTGGGTATATATCTAGGAGTGGAATTGCTGGACCATATGGTGATTCTATGTTTACTTTTGGAGGAACCGTATTTCACTTTTCACAATATAGATATATATTTTGGAAAATGTAATATATATACATGGAAAAAGTACAGACCCATAAATGAGTAATTTACGAAAAGTAACTCTAACCCCTACTCTGGTGTCCTCATTCTCATCTCCAGAGGAAACTTTCTAAGTTTCTTGAGTATCCTTTACAACATTATCTACATAAATAAGGCATTTATGTATACAGAAGTCTCACTTTTTACTTTCTGCATGTCAACATTGCTTGTATTTTTTTTTGCAAGCAAACAAATTTAAAAAGTCAATTAAAATATGACTGAATGGGGACTTCATACGTAATGTTTTGGATTAATTTGGAAGAAGTTTTGATATTTATTTTCCAATCAAATGGCATATTAAGTATCAGTGCTTGGGGTGCTCAGAATATGCACATCTAGTTGTTCTTTTGAGAGTTGAGGTCTGCAGTCTATTTGCGTGTGTGTGTGTCACTGTTAGGTCGAGAAGATGCTTTTGGCCTGAGGTAAGTGGATAGGATGTCAGACCATGGAAGGACTGCAACCTGGGAAGTGTGCCCTATGGCTTGGAATGAGAGAAAAAGGCTTGTGCTCCATTTAAAATTCCAAAAAGTTAGAGATCTTGCAAATGAAAAATATAATTGTTAAAATGAAAAATATATATATATACATGTATATATAGTCCAAGCAGCAGAATGGACCTAGCTGAAAAGTAGAGTAGGAGCTGAAAGATCAGGCTGATGATTTTCCCCAAGTCCTGGCACACTGGGATAAAGAGATGTGAAGTATGAAAGGTTCTAGGACAGATGGTTCACTTCT